CGTCAGTTGTATGCTCATGGACCCCTTCAACAAGACCCTGCGGGCGTTCCCCCACCTCGGGAAGCAGCCCCCTTGGCGCTGCTATGTGGGCAGCAACCCCGTTCTGAGAAGGAGCCGCCCCTCGTGCTTCTGGCCGTGAGCAGTGCAAGGCGCGCGGCAGGGCACTCTGGGATAGCGTGTCGCTCTGCCGGTTCTGGCCCACCACGCTTCGGCGCGACGCGCGAGTAGGCGTGCAGGCGCCTCCTCTCCGCCTCCTCCGCCTCCTCCGCCTCCTCCTCATCCTCCTCCCGTCGCCGCCGCCGTCGCCCCGCGGAGCGGAGCGACACGCGATCCACTCGCAGGGGATAGCGTGTCGCCAGGGCCGCCGCGGCGCCACGCTAAGCAGCAGTTCCCGACCGTAAGAGGTAGCATCAGAAGGTGCAAGGAGGCGTCCAGCGACAATCCCGTTATCACATAAAATCATTGTCTTCCGTGCGTCGCGCGTTTTTTCCATTTTGAGGCACGAATGGTAAGTCGCAAGCGAGAGCCCTCACACGTGTTGAAAACCTGTCACAATCCATGCATGCAACCGTTGCGAACGACTTAAGCGAATGTGCCCAGCGCCCAGACGCGAGCCAAATTCTGAAATTTATTAGCCATCCATCCGTGTAATGTTTGGGTACCTTTTCAAGAAAATGTTCGCGGCGCTCTGGCGGGACGCACACTTTGAAACCAATCATCATTTTTTGTCCGTACAGTCTTCGGAATGGTTTCAAGCACATGTGCGCCCTCAGTTGTTGCAGTTGTTGAAACCGACTCGCCCTCAATGTCCGTGCACCCGTTGGCAACATCAAGCTTCAGGATCCTAAGCAAGGAGGATGTCTCAGGCAAAGCATCAGACGCGCCCTACCAAAATGCTTGGTTGTGCGACGACGGAAAAGGCACTTCTGAGGAAGAGCATCGATGGAGCAGGAGGGGGGGAGGCGGGAGGGAGGACGAGGAGCAGGAGGAGGACGACGACGACGAGGATCGGGAAGAGGATTGGGAGGAGGAGGAGGAGGAGGAGGAGGAGGAGGAGGAGGCGGATAGGAGGAGGATGTGGGGATGGGCCTTCCCCCTCGCCGCTGCCCTCCCTCGCTCTCAGCTCCGCGGCCTGGGCCAGAGGCGTGCCGAATTTCTGCGACGGGGCCCCGCGCGAGGGCGCGACGCGGGCCCCGCGCCTTCTGGGGCGAGGCGCGGAGCGTGCGCCGCGCGCGCAGGGGGGCGACGGCGGGCCGCGCGGGCGGAAGAGGGCGGTGCCCCTCGGGGCTCAAGAGGTCCTCCTCCTCCTCCACCTCCTCCTCCTCCTCCTCCCCCTCCTCCTCCTCCTCCCCCTCCCCTCCTCCTCCTCCCCCCCCTCCTCCACCTCCTCCTCCTCCCCTCCTCCTCCTCCTCCTCCTCCTCCTCCTCCTCCTCCTCCTCCCCCTTCCCCTCCCCCCAGACCCTTTCGGGCAGTGAAGAAATCGTGGTGGGAGGCTCTTGGGGGGGAAGAGCCGGTCCAGGGGAAGGGGTCGGGATCTCCAGAGGTCGGCGCAATGAAAAAATCATGACGTCGGGGGTCTGGGGACGGGGAGGTCAATGCCAACGCGGGTCGGTCAGAGCGCCGGATCTTGCAGGGTCTTGCAGGGCCAGGGGCGCATTGACCCGGGCTTGGGCGCAGGATCCTGCAGGTTCCTGCGAGATCTTTCGATGATCCTCAGGACGTGTGCTAGCCCGATGTGTGTTTACCCCCTTCAGCCCAACCAGGAGGTCATTACATCGCATGCGTCGTATCGAAGGTCCTCGACGGACGAACACACGCTGGGGCTGACACGCGTTCTGAGGATCATCGAATCTTGCAGGATCCTGCAAGGCCTGACTGACCCGGGTGTGGATCGACCCGGGTGCGAAGATCCCCGAGCCCCGCCGCAGAACCCCGCCCGGCGACCAGTCGAGGATTGGTGGCGACCCTCCGACCGCGATCGGCGGTCGCAGGGGAAGCTTGTGGTCGCAGCGGCGAGAGTCCTAGCCTCAAGTCGGGCGTGTCCCTCTACAGGAGGAAAATTTAAAAATTGTCAAAAAATAGTCGGGGAACGATTTGTTATGTTGTCATTATTGCTGCCGCATGTTTACCCACTTTGTATCTTTCGTCCACAATCCGCCTGTATGGGGACATGCCCGACCTACTCCTAGCCGCGTTCGAGGGCAGACGTGGGGTGCACGTGGCCGAGTTGGGCACGGCGGGCGGCAGACGGAGGGGGCGCGCGGGAGCGGGAGGGGAGGGGAGCACGCGGGAGCACGCTCCATCGCAGGGGAACCAAAAAGCCATCAGCATAAAAGGTCTAAGGTCTGCGCGGATTTCTTGGATCGGCGCTGGAGCCTCTGGCGCCGCCCCGCGCGCCAGGGAGATGGGGTCCAGGAAATCCGAGCGGACCTCCGAGTTTTGATGTTTGCGCCATCGTTTGTTCACCTAGATCGATCGGCGACGGCCGAGTTCGGCAACTGTAGAGGCTCAATTTCGAGGCCTGGCGCACGTCGGCGATCCGCGTCGGCCCAGTTCGTCCTCCAGGCTGCCGCCTTAGCCACAAGACGGTCTTCCAATTTCGGCGAAATGGCATGGCATGCTACAATGAAAGCCAAGTAGCCAGAGTGCCGATAGTCAGATTGCGGTGCATCGCCGCGTCCTCGATTTGGGTGGCGCGGTGCAGCACACAGCGGAGCAAGCGCTGCACATTTTGCTGCAACGTGCCCGAGCCACCCACGCTGATCTTCATCATCCTGAGTTTCCGGCGGTCGATTCCGCCGGCGGAGGCGCCAGTGTGTCACTTCTGACAGCTTTCACCCGGCCTCCTCCGAGAGCGAGGTGTCACCCTCTACACGGTCTTGGGTACAGGTGCGGCGATGGTGGGCAATTAATTGTTTTCGATCACAATGGTGGGTAAGAGGTACGGCGGTGCTCGTCACGTGTGTGTTTGCGCCGACGGGGCTCACCACCACCCCTTTTTCCTACGGGCCCCAAGTTACTCTGCTTGAGGCTTTCCTTCAGGAGAGGTCATCACGAGGGCCTTCGTCGTAGTCAACACACTTGTCCCAAGGCCTCCGGACGTGTGCTGTGGCGCACTCTGGCCAGGATCCCGAGGCGCATCCGGCCATGGCGACGGTGGCGCCCCCGGAGGCCCAGGCGGGGACCCGAAAGCTTCGGCCCTCGGCGCTCCCGCCTCGACGACGACGACGACGACGACGACGACGACGACGACGACGACGCCACCGCCGCCGCCGCCGGCGGCGCCGGCGGCGGCGGCGGCGGCGGCGGCGAGGAGAGGCCCCTGGAAGCCCGAAGGGAACAGCCGATACACCCCCATCGTAGGGGGGGCACATCGGCCCGTGCCTGTGGGCACCTGTGCCACAGAGGGCTTCGGCCGTCTCTGGAAAGCAGGCGGGCAGTGGCCCGATCGTCACCCTTGCTGGCCGCAGCTTGGGGAGAGACTCTTCCCGCTCGGCCTGGCCTGCCGAGTGTAGGATCCGGCCCCTGGATCCACCCTGGCAGGGCTCCTTTCAACGGAGCTACCTTACGGGGGCCTCTTAACGTTCGGAGGCGAGGGGGGAACTAAAGGCCCGACGCTGCGGTGGGTAATCCATCGCTTCGTTGGGCCGGCGGGCAGGTGGGTGCGGCGCCGGCGCCCGCGTTCTGAGGCCCAGGCCACGGCAGTGGGGAGAGGCCGAGGAGGCGCCACCACGGATTGGCGGCGCGTGGAGTGGCGATGGGCCCCGCGGCCTCTCAGAGAGTCGGCGCGCTCCATTCTCCAAGTCGGACGGCATTGGCCTCACGGTTCGGGGGGTGCCTTCCCCGATCCGTGGATCTGGCGCCGACGCAACAGATCCACGGATCCTTGATCCACGTTAGCCTGCGCCCGAATGCGTTCCGGGGGGGGTACCCTTGCATCCTTCCCCTTTGGCCCAGCCTTGGCCGCGTTCGATGGCCACGCCCCGCTCGAGAAGTGTCGACATGGCCTTCCAAGGCCCTTGCATCCTTATCGTACGCCATTGCTCAAGAGGCTGACGCCATTTCGCCGACCTCCAGAAGAAGCGTGGAGCCTACGGTTGAGGCGTCGCGGGCTTCTTGGGCACTATTTGGGATTCCTGCGGGCGCCTTGGGCGTTGTTGGGGGGCCTGGTGGAGCCTCATGGAGGCAGTTTTGAATCGTGTCGGGGGCCTCGTTTGGGTCGCTTGGGGATTTCTTGGGGCCTTCGGGGGGCCTTTTGGGGCGAAAAGGCAGGATGTTCGATTCGTGCTCTCCCCTCTTGGCCACTCTTGGGGCCTTCTCGGGGCAATCTTTGGTACCTCATTAGTACACGCGTTGACTGAACCCCTCGGTCGTTGAAAGCAGATATTCTTGGACTCGCAGGTCCCACTGTACTTCTAGTGCCTTCCCACCTCAAGACTCGGCATGGTTTTGCTGTGTTATGTTATTCCCTGGGAGGGCCTGATTCCAATCTACTCGATCCGCGTTCCTACCTCATGTGTTCACCTAATGATTCCGACCCACGTGCAGGGCTCGGTTCGCCTGTCCTCCCAGAGTGTCCTGGCCGGCCGGCCAAGACACCATGCTGGTGTTCGTTGCTCTCTGCTGGCGCGCCTCGTTGCCACTTGCTGTTGCCACTGGCACAGCCCCCCTTCGTGCTGCAGCAGCTAAAGCAACGTGCAGGGATCGGGGCGACGGGGGGGGGACGCGCCGAAATGCAGAGGTCGGCGCGGAAGTGGCGCGCTGGCGGGCGGGCGGGGGGCAGGAGCCCTGCGTGCCCTCGGAGCTCGACGCCTGCGCGCGCGCTCCCGCGTGGCCTCCCCTGGAGGCCAGAGAGCCCCAAGGGCAGGCCAGGAGAGCACAGGGGGGGGGTGCAGCTCCAGGAACGCCTGGCAGAGCCGGGGCGTCTGAGGTCTGGGTTTGGGTCAGCGAAGGTCCCCCGTCCCCTCGCAGCTACAGCAACGTGGAGCGATGCGCCGAGGTCGCAGCACCCAGAGGACGACCAGGAGTGCGGCGGCGCAACAGCGGCGGCCTGCGAAGGCGCGGCGGCGCTCCGCCGCCGCCCGCCCTCGCCGTCGCTCGTCGTCATCGCCGTCGCCGTCGTCGTCCTCCTCCTCCCCCTCCTCCTCCCCCTCCTCCTCCTCTTCCTCCTCCACGTCCTCCTCCCTCTCCTCCTCCCTCTCCTCCTCCTCCTCCTCCTCCTCCTCCACTTCCTCCTCCGCCTCCTCCTCCTCCTCCTCTTCCTCCTCATCCTCATCCTCTTTCCTCCCCTCAATCATCATCCTCCTTCTCCTTCTCCTTCTCCTCTTCCTCCTCTTCCTCCTCCTCCTCCTCCACTTCCTCCTCCTCCCCCTCCTCCTCCTCCTCATCCTCCTCCTGCTCATCCTCCTCCTCCTCCCCCTCCCCCTCCTCCTCCTCGCTCCGCTCCTCCGTCTCCTCCCCTCCTCTCCTCCTCGCCTCCTCCTCCTCCTCCTCCTCCTCCTCCTCCTCCTCCTCCTCCTCCTCCTCCTCCTCCTCCTCCTCCTCCTCCTCCTCCCCTCCACTGCCTCCTCCTCTTCCTCCTCCTCCTCCTCCTCCTCCTCCTCCTCGGCCCCTGGGGGGCCTTTGCCGGGCGTCGGAGCCGTCAAAAAAAGAATCGGGACAAAACAAAGGTCTTGGGCAATGGTTCGAAACTTCTGGGGGTCAACGTTATGAAGGAATCATGACGTCGGGGTTCTGGGCTTGTCGTCGGCTTCATCCTCCTTCCCCTCGTCCTACTGAGTCGTAAGTCCTGATGGCAAACAGATCTGGCAGACGTTGCCCTCCACCACCCCAGCATTGGGGGAGATTGCTACGATAACATAACAGGAGTGTTCTCTGTTGCCGCAACAATCGCCCCGAGTAACTACGCTGACTTCAGCCATGCCGCCCGGCTCTGGGTTTCCAGATTCAGCCGCCGTCAACTACCCCCCCGTTCGACGACTGAAAACGATCCTGGGGGGTTCGGGACTCGGCCGTCGTCGATTCCAGCCCCCGGTGTTTTTATTGGCCACATAACTCGGCTCTCCTGCAGCTGGTCGGGATGATTCTGGCACCCCACGAGCGCACTCGGCAAGACGCAGCCGCTGGAGAAAATCCCAAGTCCAGAAAGCAGTCGAGCACCGACGAGAGCGCCTGAGCCCTCCTCACTCCCCGCCCGTCCCTCCCCCCTCCCCGCTCTCCGACTCCGCCGCCTCGACGACGACGACGACGACGACGACCACGACGACGACGACGACGACGTCGAGCAGAGGTAGGGGGAGGAGGAGAGCGAGGAGGAGGCGGCGGCGGCGGTTCAGCAATTGGCCACAGTCTCAACAGAGCAGAGTGTACTACCGCTGGGCGCAGAGGAGGAGGAGAAGGAGGAGGAGTAGGAGGAGATGAAAAATAAGAAGAAGAAGAAGAAGAAGAAGGAGAAGGACGTGGATAAGGGAGGCACACGCGAGGAGGGAGGAGAAAGAGAAGGAGGAGGAGCAGGGGCAAGCTAAGGGATGAGTGAGTGAGTGAGTGAGTGAGTGAGTGAGTGAGTGAGTGGGTGAGTGAGTGAGTGAGTGAGTGAGTGAGGGGGAGGAGGAGAAGGAGGAGGAGGAGGAGGAGCAAGCATATTTGGGGATCGGGCTCCTTCGAGTGCGGCGTGGGCCGCAGCCTACTGCGCAGACTGGCGATGGCATCAGCCTCTACTAGTCTTCTCCTCCTCCCTCTGGATCATCACGTTCCCAGACATCCGGCTGCTCCAAGTTTTTCGATGCGTGGGCCTTAGGTCCAGGCCGTTTCCCCAGGGCCGGTTGTTCTTCCTGAGTCGTATCTTGAAGCTCCCGAGGCCCGGCGAGGGCCCCTGGAGGCCGAAAGCGGCCAAAAGCCGCCCGCTCCAATCTTTGTTAAGGAGCGTCGGATCTACAGGTTTTGGGTTTCGTCGCCTTCTCTCCTCCGCCTCTCCTCCTTGGCGCCTCTGCCTCGTCGTCTCCTCTCCTATTCCGATTCCCCCGCCCCCTAGTCACGCAGGCGGCCTGGGGGGTTGGGCGGCGTCGAGGCGCGAATCGGATGCCCGCGGCAACGAGCAACGCAGAGGAGGAGGAGGAGGAGGAGGAGGAAAGATTTAGAACAATATGAAGAAAGTTTGATGAGTTAATATGTTTAATAGGAAGAGCACAAGACTAAGAAACATAGCAATAAAGCAAAAATACTTTAACAGGGAAAGTGGAGGGGGAAAGACTAAGAAACGACAAACTGACAGAAGCTGCAACCAAAACAGCAGAGGAAGAAAAAGGTCGTGAAACTTGAGAATGACGGGGAGGAGGCGGAGGGGGAGGAGGCGGAGGCGGAGGAGTAGCACGAGGGCGAGGAGGAGGAGGTGGACGACGACGACAACGACGACGACGACGATGACGACGGCGAGCACGACGACGACCACGACGACGACCACGACGACGCCGACGACGACGACGACGACGACGACGACGACG